ATACTGAAGATATTTTTATTTTATAAATAATTATTATAAACGTATATATTTTAATTATTAAAATCGCGACGTGCAAGAAGTCCTATCCTAATCTAAAACATAAAAAAACCTCAAAAAAATGTTACTACTCACAGGTATAAAAAATACCTGCGGTCACTATGCTCGTCAAAAATTCTACGTATACAACCAGTCACCTGTGCCGATTTGAACCTTTCGTCCTACGACATGATTAAGTGACCGGAGGAACATAAATGCATGCGACTCACGCGATAGATGCGAAGATGCTGCACTGAACCAAGGAAAGCCGTCGTGAAGATCGTCCTCAAGCAGATATCACTGAGAATTCAATGGTGAAAGTAAACGCCGTGAAAAATTTCTAAAAACATAAAGATACAGTGTTATTTGTAAAAATTTAAATTTTCATAATGATAAAAATTGGGGGTCTAATAATTTAAAACATTTTAATTTTATAATTATAATTTTACATTTGACTTCAATGTAAAGAGAGCTATAGAGAATAGAATTAATTCAAGTACAATGTGCTAAAGTACTTACATTCTTAGTTTTTGAAGCATCGTGAGATTGTTAGAGGATAAGGGGAACTGAGAAGGCATCTGAGGATCTGTAATAAAACATAACACGTTAGGATTTGTATTTAAAGGCAAAGTACAATATCAAAATAATGAAATTATCTATTGGAGATAATGAAACATTCTTACATTCTTGGCTTGTCACTGTTGAATATTCCCCCAAAAATACAACAAAATTCACGCTGTGAAGAGTCTGCAATAATACGTTAAACATTATACTATGTTATCAAATTTGAAAAATCGAATAAATTGAACTATTTACTTACGGTCTTTATCTCCTGGAGAGATCTTATCCTCTTGAGCACTGACTCTAATATACCAAAAACGAATGTTGAATAAAAAAAAATATAAAAAAAGAAAAAACGACTATCAACGCGCGCGTTTAAGCAATACTCGGTGGACTCACTGACTCTAACTTCGCGAATTATAATTTAAATGAATTAATATGCTATTTTACTCAAAATGATATTAATGACTCTGATAACACTGACTCTGCCGACCGCATTGCGCGCGGTCACAAAAATTTTCTGAAAATAAAGCTGATTAGAAGGGGACGGGGAAGGGCAAAGAGTATGTTTATTTAGAAAATACTGCTGTTTTTCCAGAAAATGATTATAAATTTAAGTATGCATTAAAGATATTAGTTGAATAGTACAAAATATTTCTCAATATTTGCAGAAATATTTGCACAAATTGTATTCTGAATGTTCGTTATTACAATATGAAATATACACATTAGTAATATAATCACGTCACGTGTTATAAATATTAGAAAATGTCTGCACAAATAAAAATTTTGCAGTTAAATATATTTAGAGAATCATACACATCTGAAATCTTGCTCTGAATGGTTTAATTCGAAAGAAGTATACTGTAGCAAAGTACAGTATAGCAAATTACGAAACTGAATTTAATAATCTAATGCAGTATATATCCATTTAAAAGAACATATATACCATTAAGCTACTACGATATCCATATTCGAAATAAAATATTAATTGATTTAATTTTTTCTATTTTCATCTTTGTATTCCAAATAATTACGAAATTACATATTGTGAATTGTATATCGAATATGTATATACATATATAAAATGTATACCAAATGTTACCCAAAATGTTACCAATTTTCCGTGAAAATTCATCAGATTGTGGCGTCTATGCAGTCTATGCCATCTTTGCAATCAAGGAATAACCTGTACAAAAAGAAATCAGAAGTGTGAACAAATGTGTCAAATAAAGGCAAATGTGTAAAAATGAAATGATAATTAACTTCAAATTTTATTAAAAAACGTTCGAGACAAGCTACAGGTGACCGTGAGTAAAATCGACGATTGAAGAAAAACTGGCGTGGAAAGTTTCAAAGCACTACACGATTTCCTTTTCGTAATGCTCAATAAATCGTTAAGCACGTGCTTATTAATTAAATGGTACTACTAATGAAATGTAAATGGAAGTAAAAGAGTATCGAAGAAGCGACGCCATCGAAAAGACGCCACCGATAGATTTGAAGAAGTTACGTATTAATGCGACGTAATGTACGTTGTTCACGAAATCCAGCAGCCGAATGACTCTCTGCCACGCGTCTCATCCTTCAATTGAGAAAATAGTAGGGGATGGGGTGATCCTGTCTGAACAGGCACGATAAGTAAGACGAACATAAACATTGTGTTCGTGTTGTTGTTTTGAAATTCGAGGCCTTCGAAGCTTTTTACGCCTTATTCTATTTGAGAAATGGAAAATTTTATTATATTACACACTAAAATAATTATCTTAACTATCAAGTACGTACATTTTTAATAAATTATTGTCGAGTTTGATATTAGAATTGTTAAAAACTTGGCAATATGAAATTAAAGAATCAACGAATGAATGGAAAATGTTAAAATAAAAGTTTGTATGTAAAAGCATATAATAAAATACATGTGTATATGTAACATTAAGTTAATTACAAGGTTACAATATTTCGACTGATTAAAATTGAAATTTAATTAGGGTATAAAGTTATAAATAACTTTCAGCATATTATGTTCTGTTCAAATGTTTATATGCTATTATTTCTTTGACTGTTGAAAATTATATTTATAATTATTAGGTTAAACCTTACCTTGAGTTGAAGCCAAAAATGCACATTTTAAAAATTTAAAATACAAACACAAATCCAACAATTATTCATTTATATTTTTATATGAGAACTTTTGAATGATACTTCTTTCTGGATGATTCTTTTGGATAAAACTTTCTTCTTTACTGATGAGATGTGCTCCTTTCCGCCATGTTTCCGGTTTAAAACTCGAACGTGAAAAATATCGATATGTTCGAGAATCGTAGGATGTGTATTACGTACTTCTCCGTTGGCGCTGTAATCGTATGTTTTACACGAAATGATAACTGAGAATAAGAAATAAAAAAACTCTGATCTAAATGAAATATACAAAATTCATGAGAAATTCTTAAAAAAGGAACGAAAATATTCACACATTTGATAAAAGATTACTTTAAACTGAAACATGAGAAATTTTATTATATTACGTAGTAAAATTAGTATTTTAACTATTAATTACATTCTTAATAAATTATTGTTTAATTTAGTACTGGAATTGTTAAGAATTACATAACATATCCATTCTTCAAAGCAAATTTTAAAAACTTTCAAAGTAATATTTAAAACTACTACTTCTGAAACCAATTTGTCGCGAAGTGTCTTCTCGCTCATATCAATTTTTTATATTGTAACCTATTATGTCAATATAATTATATTAATTTTAATGCATCATTATTAACATTCAAAAACATAATGTGCAAGAAAACCTGAACTAATAAATAAAACACAAGACAAGAAATTATAGATATAATAAGTACAAGAAATTATAGATATAATAAGTACCTGTATCATTGTTCAATGAAAGTTCTACATAATACAAATAGTCACCAGTATCGATTCAAATCTTTCATTATGATATAATTGAGTGACTAGAGGGACAAAAAAGCATGCGGTTAGATGCGAAGAACGTTTTCATCGATATAGTTGTAAGCCAAAGAAAGTCATTATGAAGCCTGTTATCAAATAGGAATTGTCAAATCTCATGGAGAAATTAATGGTTGGAAAAAATCTGTAACAAAGTATAGAATAAAATTTTAAATAATGAAAGATCTATATCTATTTCTATTGAACATAAAATTTTAATGATGACATTCAATTCAAAAATGAAAAATTTTAACTTATAACATTTTCAATTAGAATTTATTTATTAATTAATAGTATTAAGGCAAAATAGAAGAAATAAAACAAGTTGAAATGCAAAAATTCTTACGTGTTTAGCTTTGAAGCATCGTTATATCTTTTCAGGTAAAGTTAAGACGAAAAAGTGAAAATTGTGAAAAACCTTTAACAAAGCGTATGAATTATAATTAAAACATTTAAAAAAGAATTAAAAACATTACATAATTATTCTTAAAATACATTATAGATTATTAAAAAAAACTAAAAAATAAAATTGTGTTCAAAAAATTTTAATAATAATATTAAAATTTTTGAATGTCCGTTATAGTTTGAAATAATTTGTACTAACCAAACATGGCGCTTTATTCTTGTCTGCGTAGTATGAAATAGATGCGATGCGCAGAACGTATTTAAACTTGAGTGTGATAGCGTCTCTTTATATGTGAATTAAATATTAAATAAATATTACGGATTATCCATTAGAGAAAAGTCAAATATAAAAATACATCTGCCTTCATTAGAATAAATTAAATGTTATTATATCTCTATAAAAAGTTATCACATTTACTAGTAAACGTGACATTTCCTTCGAGTGCAACCAGTAATCTGAACAAAAAAAACCAAAAATATATTGGAGGAATATAACATAAAGGAATATAAAAATATACATTTTACCGACTTAACAGTAGCACGGAGATATAATGATGAAAGTATTACGCAGTTATTAAACATCCCGCAAAATGACAAATCTTAACGCCATGATTTTCGACAATAAACTAACCTTCTGCGCAACAAGTTCGCGTCGTGAACTAATTTGGTGAGATGGGGATTAAATATGAAAATCGGTTGATATATGGAGAAGTAAAGTATCCTGTAAAAATGTTTCCAATCATTTATTTATAAATAATGCCTTTTGCGTGCTGATTTAAATAATGAGAATAATATAGTTGTAATAAGTTATAGAATTTAATATAATTGTAAAAACTTACAAAAATCTCTTATGAATATATTGTATGTTCATCCTATTTATGTTCATTGAATTGGATATATGTTATATATGTAATATCTCTTTTAACTAATACTTCTGTTCTAAATTATAGACGCATTCAATAATGCAACCTCAAGAGCTATTTGGTTATAATTTTTATTTCACAATTTTTAGATAATACTTCTTTTTACTGTGCTTGCTTATTGTATCCAAATCTAACACTTCTACATTGCATCCTAATATTAATAGACCCATCACAAGAAATGTCGATCGTGTTCGAGAATCACAATATATAATTGCGTATTTTGCCATTTCATTGGCGCTATATATTTATTTAAACTAAAATCATTGCGCGCAAATTTCGAATAAGGATATATTTTCTGACGTTAATGATTTTGATTTTTTCGGAGATTAAATGCGATGTGTTCTTTACAGCTTTGAGAGTCATCGATAGGAGCTAACTTCAAGCTTCTTTCGATTTTGAACATTCCTTTTCAGTCACGAATCCTAGCTTAAAAAGCGAACATTCCTTGCACATTCTTCGAATTAACTGGCAAACAAGGATACAACACTTTGATATTTCTATCTTGATAATATTTATTTTGATAAAAATTTCATATATTTATCTCTTAAATATTCTCGGCATTCATTTGTATATTTGATTTATTTATTTATATTTTATGTTTCCTCCTTACATTTGTTTGCACAATTGTATATTCTGATTGACCTATACCTCTTTTGATTAGTTTATGTACATAATAATCTTTTATGTAAGTAAAGAATCTGAGGAAAGTTTGGATTAGGTTCCAATTTAACTTCACTTCGAAAATATAAATTTAAACATTTCAGTCTGAATAATTTAAAAAGATTAGAAGGGAAAATAAAAATACATTGAACATATAGGTTTGATTTTCAAGTTAACAAAGTATATTTGCCCAATTCTTATTCTATGGCAATATTTTCCTTGCATAAAAAATTACTGTTTTCCACGAAATGCATTATAAAACTAATAAAATTCCACGTGATGCGTGCGTGCTATTTATACGTGATCAGTTTGATTTAATTTGACTTTCAAGACGGACCAATCACGATGTTTCCTATTCAAGAGCATGGTAATCAAAGACTGGAATAATATTTAACATTTAACTATGGCATATATGTATATATATATAACATTTCATTATGTACGTATATAATATTTGTATTAACATCTACATACATCTGTACATGTGAGCAATTTATAGATATAATTTACATAAATGCAATAAAAGTTAGAAAGATATAATTTCCTGTACAGAAAAAACTGCATAAATTGGTCTTACAATGTAAAAAATATATAAGAAAAGTAAGTAGTTAACTGTGTGTCTAAACAAAACTTATTTAGAGATACCTATTTACAATTATGTTTGTCAAAGAATTTACCTAGTATAAAGTAGTACTTATTGCAACATTACTTTGCTTATTTCACCATTATCTGAACAATTGAAGTTCCAACTGTACGAATAATGACACACAAATAATTGTTTACTACCAATTAAGTAATAAGTAGTCATATTTATCATCAAAAAAATCGTGCATATGAGTTCATAAAATCGAACAAATTATTGCATCTTCTTCGTACTATCAATAACATTTCAACCTAAGAATATGCCTGAAAATTCGATGTATATTAGAAAATTCTAAGAAAAAGTACTTGGTATTAAAGATACATTCTTTCAGGTCATATTCCGAGATAACTGCAGAAAATGAATGCTCCGCAAATACTAAGAATAATCAATATGATGACGAACCAGAATGGTAGTGTGTCTGTAATAGAAAGATTTTCAAACATTAAGATTATCAAAACAATGCAGAAACATATTGAAATATTATTTAATTACTTACGTCTAAATGGTATACTATGTATACAAATTTTGTTATCCACAGAAATACTAATAACTGCAGTTTCAGTGTTACTAGCAATAGTAGGACTTTCTAACTTAGTTGGTAAGAACTCTAGGCCAGTTACAAACATACTATGTGCACCAGGTACATGCAAAGCTCTCCTCAAACTGAATGCGACATATATGTCCACGCTACCAGAAAACATTGTTCCAACTGCCACAAATTTTCCATCATCTGATACTGATAAAGCAGACAAAGTTTCTTTATAGGGCACTGCCTTAACAATACTTCCAGATTCCACATCCCACAATTGTAGAAAACTAATATTCTTTCCAATCACTGCATTGGAAAGTATAAAGATTTGAGCTTTAGATTTTTCCTCCAACTTTCTAAACCTGCATCTTTTATACATATATTTCAATCCATTTGGAGGTGACCAAGTTAAATCTTTGAACTTAGAACCATTGCTCATGTTCCATATAAATGCTTTGCCATCTTTTGCTATGCTTGCTATTAATGTACTATCTGGACTGAAATCTATGTCATCTATTTCTTTTGTATGAGCATCCAAATCATGTAATTTGTGTAATTGTGGGAATTTCCATAATCTTATATGACCATCCATGCCACCAGTTGCCATAAATTTTCCATTTAGACTTATTCTAACAATCCTCTGAAGTGGTTCTTCTTCACTGTAAAAATTCTTATTGTTTAGAATAATTATTTTAAAAGCAATTATTTTTCTATATTTTGATGAAATTATAGTTACCTGAAATCTGTTTGTACACTATCTGCTGGTTTTACTATCAATTGAAGCTTTTTACTTTTAATATTTGAGTTGTCATCCTTAATTTCCTCTATCCTCTCTTCAGGTGTAATAGTTTCTTCTACTTTATCCGTATTCTTTCTATGTCTAATGCCTTCTTTAGAAGTACTATTAGTTCCTTTAATAATTTCTCCATTCTTCGTAGTTACCACTTTACTAGTTACATTGTACAGTTGACAATGACTTTCTTGACCAGCTGCAATCCAGATTCTCTTTTGATCGTTATATGTTGTACAGTTCATAACAACACTGGGACCTGTTTCATGTCTGGTTACTTCTTCCGCAATGAACTGAGATCCATTATGAGACAATTCAAATATTTCCTATTCATAAGGAATAATTCAATTCAAATAAATTACAAAATTAATCTCATTTTTAATGCATATGAGAATTATTTAAAAAGAGAAAGAAATTTCTTACAAAGCCATTAGCAACTCCAGTCTTTGAGGAACCTCCGCCACCACCGACCAGAATGTGCCTCCCCGTCAGCATCTGCAGCGTATACAAAGGGAAATTCACCCTGGCCAAGAGATCACAATTATTCCTCCTGGAAGGCATATTGTTCCGAATGATTAATATGCCACTATGAACGTTCCCGCTTTCGTCACCGTTTAGACAGGTGTTTACTGATAGCCAAAGATCATGGCATATCAATAGGCTAAAAAATCAAGCTCCTGTCGAATTTCCTAATGTTTTTTCACAGCGTACAACCACGGGACTCGATTCAACACACGTTCAACATAAGTCTTTCATGAAAACAGACGGCAAAACAGTGATGAACACGTATTCAATCTCGTCTTCTTCTGTTTCCTCAATTCACCACGAGATGACTATAGTGTGATCTTCTAAATTCAACATTGAATGTTGTAAAATACTGCGACTGCAAACAGCATGGTTGTTACACGTTATTTCCAGATCTCAAAGAGACAATTAAGTAAATTTTGATATTTCATTTTATTTTTAATCATATTTATGAAATTTGTTACATCTAAGGCCAATTATGATATAAGAGATATTAATGTTTTAATTTTTTGTCATATTTAATAAGAATTTTGATGTTTTGTGTTGTTATTCAAACGAAGTTATACAATGAAAAGAATTTGATTTTGATTTTAAGGTTTCCTGGGGTCATCTTTCAGTCAAAAACAAAAAACATTTACCGAAACTGCGTCCGAAGGGAAGGTACGTTTATGTTATACCTATTTAATGTTATACCTACTCATTGTGTTAATTATAGTATAATGTGAACATATAATAATCTGTGTTACCTTTCTTTTTTTTTTTTTTTTTAGAAAAAAGGTGGTCCCCTGGCTGATCAAGACCGTATCTTCACAAATTTATATGGTAGACATGATTGGAGATTGAAGGGTGCCCTGAAAAGAGGAGATTGGTACAAGACTAAAGAAATCATTGAAAAGGGTGCAGACTGGATTATCAATGAGATCAAGATATCTGGGCTAAGAGGTCGTGGAGGTGCAGCTTTTCCAACTGGCATGAAATGGTCTTACATGAACAAGCCCTCAGATGGAAAACCAAAATATTTGGTAATTAATGGAGATGAGGGTGAACCTGGCACCTGCAAGGATCGTGAAATCCTACGTCATGAGCCTCACAAATTGTTAGAAGGTTGTTTAATTGCTGGCAGTGCTATGGGAGCTTGTGCTGCTTACATCTACATCCGTGGTGAATTTTATAATGAAGCATCAAGTATACAAGTTGCTATTGCAGAAGCTTACCAAGCAGGTTTGATTGGCAAGAATGCCTGTGGCTCTGGCTACGATTTTGATATCTTTGTCCAAAGAGGTGCAGGAGCATACATTTGCGGAGAGGAAACTGCTCTCATAGAATCTATCGAAGGAAAACAAGGAAAGCCAAGATTAAAACCACCATTTCCAGCTGAGATTGGATTATTCGGGTGTCCTACTACTGTTACAAATGTTGAAACTGTCACAGTATCTACTGTATGTATTTACCATATACATAATAGTATCAAAAATAGACATATGTAGAAAATTTTAATTCTAAAATAAAAATTTTGATATATAGGCTATATATAAACGAGGCGGAGCATGGTTTGCATCACTTGGCCGTCCACGTAATCATGGGACTAAATTATTTAACATCTCGGGGCATGTGAACAATCCATGCACTGTGGAAGAAGAAGTGTCTATTCCTCTGAAGGAACTTATTGAAAGACATGCTGGAGGAGTAATTGGTGGGTGGGATAATCTGCTGGGTGTGATTCCTGGTGGATCTTCCACTGCTGTTATTCCTAAAAGGTACTTGTATAATTATAAATCCAAAAATTTAAGAACTTTTTATTAAATACTCGAATAATTTTCAGCGTGTGCGATACAGTATTAATGGACTTTGATGATCTTATCAGAGTGCAGAGCGCTTTTGGTACTGCAGCTGTGATCGTGATGAACAAACAGACTGATATTATTAAAGCTATTACTCGTCTCATTAGTTTTTATAAGCACGAATCTTGTGGTCAGTGCAGTCCTTGTCGTGAAGGAACAAGTTGGGTGTACAAAATTATGACAAGGTACAAGATTCCGTTGATTTATTTGTTCTTTTTATTTTAATTTGAAAAAACAAATTATTGATAATCTAGATTTGTTCATGGGCAAGCAGAAATACACGAAATAGATATGCTGTGGGAAATAACCAAACAGATTGAAAAACATACTATTTGCTTTTTAGCGGATTGTACAGCATGGCCAATTCAGGGATTGATTAGGCATTTCAGACCAGAAATAGAAGCACGCATTAAGCGATGTACGAAAGCAATATCCAATTAAGTTAAAGATATAAATATTTAATACTAGTAAACGTTCCGATGCTTGTGAACAATAAAATATGCAGCTACAAGTGCTAATGGTTAAGGCGCGAGACAACTGTATTTGGTTGCATGCCTTTGTTTATTGCATGTATTTCGTGCTTCAGGTATTATTGCTGAAATTTTCTACTTACTAGTAAAGGACTGAATAACTTGGTTAAGACTTCATTTGCTTCAATGCGTCAATAATCAGATTGCTAATGACTAAACTTAAACTTCTCAATTTTTAATGGTTTAGCAAATAAAATAGGAACGTAATTTGTTTGTATTAATAAAGAAGCAAATATCATTTTTTTAATATAATTCGATTTTTTAATGTGTCATTCGACAAAAACTAATTTCCTTGTATAATTAGAGGTAAATATACAGTTGGATCCGATAGAAATAGATATTTTAAATTTTAAATTTTATAAAATTTGTGCATGAAGGACACAGTATGAACAAAAAAATACTTTGTCATCCCTTATCTTTCGTACAATAGATCTTAAAATTAAGATTAAAGTATCTCCTAAACTAATAGGTCTTTGACATACATAGGTTAATACTTTCTTTTTTTGTAGAAAATATTGAATTACATCGATTAATGGACGGTTCATCATCCATGACGAAGGAATACAATCTTTATTCTGGCGATGGAGTATAACCTGAAGAATTTGAGATTGGATAAACTAACCAGCACTATTCTCATTTTCGGTAGAATGCTGGAGAAGGCGAGTAGATGCAGCATCAAATGACAGGTTCGTTTTACGAACGGTGACATGCGAGGGAAACTTACGCGATCCATGGGATTTTCAATACATTCTGCTGAAGATCATAAAGAACATGTGAAGTTAAAATATTGAAAAGTGCTAGATTGGGAAAGCAAAAAAAGAACATGTTAAATAATGTTTTTGTAGATATTCACGAGAGATCATGATATAGACTTTTTAACTTGATACAAGTTTCAAAAGTAGAAGAACTATCGACTTATTTCAGATAAATTAAAGCTCACAATAGTAAGAAATATAGAAAAATATTATATTTTAATTTTAATCTTAAATCTCTTTAAATTAGATATGGAGGAACACATTTGAGTTGAGTAACGATAAGGATGGATGGCTCGATTATCTGGTCTGGACAAGAAGGAACAGCAACAGCAACAAAAACAATCGCTAAAGATGACAGTAGACATGCAGATTGAATTAGAATTGCCTACCATTTCCGATCAGATTTTAGTTTTATGAATAACAAGATGATAGATTGCGAATGCAAAGTAAAGATACCCGAAATCATCCAATTTGATCATGTATCCGCATGTTTGTCGTTATTGCGGCCTGGGTTGGGAATATGAAATTCCACTTCCAGTCTGGGCAGCCGATGGTTAAACCGATAGTTCCAGTCTGCGTAACATCGAACCGAGCTATCACTACTCTTTGTACCCTTTAATATTCTTACTTCGTGCCTTCTATCCGCCAGCGATCTCCACCATCGTTCATGTACCCGTCTCTATAAATAAGTCGCTGGACTCGCAAACAAGTAGAACTCTTCACGCTACTGCAATGCATCTGTCTGGATTGTGCCTAGGATGATTCTGAATGATTCATTCTAGATTCATCAATGATATTTTAATGTTCTCGATAGCATCGTAGATCATAAATGAAAAAGAGTGATCGATGGCGAAGTATGAGCATTGCTGCAACATTAACTATCTTGAGAAAAAAGTGTCTGGAGGTGTTCCATTAATCTTCCGCGGAGAGTGAAAAAAAATCGACCAATCTGATTTCAAAATGTGAAGCCTTTGTTTTATGTTCGTTTTTATCAAAGATATTTTTACTTATGTAGCAGTTGGGGAAGTAAAGCTTCTTTTTGAAAATTATAAGATTTCAAATATCGTTAAAATCACTGAAAAAATTTTTTCATAATTAAATCCATCATAATTATTAAAAAAGAAAACGTATATTTTTTATATTTTTATATGTTTTATTATATTTATATTTTTTTATGTATGAAAGAATTTTCAAATATAAAAAAAATAATGCATATTTTGAACCAAAATTCATGACTTCTAAGGGATCAAATTCAACAGTAATAATTAAATTAATTTTGATATCATTAAAAAATATGTAGGAGCAATAAAACTTTAGTTTTAAAATTCTGTATTCGAATTTTCATGTTTAATGAACCTTTGATACCAAAAACGATCTGTGGTTAAATTAGGAAATCGGATTCTTGTTGAGTTTCCCAATTTTTCTCAATATACAACATAATCACGGGACTCGATTTACGCATGTTCATCACAAGCTATTTGTGAAGACACGTCAAAGCAGTGATGAACACGTCTTCAATCTCGTGCCACTCCATTTCGTAAATGCACCACAAGATGACTATAGTGTAATCTTCTAAATAGACAGCTCGATGCTGTTAACGTCTACAAAGTCGCAAACAGCAAAATGGCTGGTGCCATTGTCCGCAATTTTCAGGTCCCAAGGAGACAATTGGGTAAGTTTTGATAGTATTTTGTTTTATTCATTCAAAGCCAACTATGACATATGTAAAAGATATTGATCGTTTTTCATATTCAATGTGAGTTTTAAAAATTTTGCTTTGTACGACGTAAATGACGAATAATAACAAGGTTATGTAATGAAAAAAATTCAATTTCAATTTTAAGGTTTCCTTGGTTCATCATTAAGTGGCCAGCAACAAAGAACATTTGCTGATGCTGCGCCTGAGGGAAAGGTACATCTATGTCATTCGTGTTTTAATTCATGCATATTTTATTGCGTTATACTATATTGTATACTGTGAGTGATAAATATTATTTATTTATTTTTTTTTTTTTTTTTAGAAAAGAGGTGGTCCCCTGGCTGATCAGGACCGTATCTTCACAAATTTGTATGGCAGACATGATTGGAGATTAAAGGGTGCCCTGAAAAGAGGAGATTGGTACAAGACTAAAGAAATCATTGAAAAGGGTGCAGACTGGATTATCAATGAGATCAAGATATCTGGTCTAAGAGGTCGTGGAGGTGCAGGTTTCCCATCTGGCATGAAATGGTCTTTTATGAATAAACCCTCAGATGGAAGACCAAAATATTTGGTAATTAATGGAGACGAGGGTGAACCTGGTACCTGCAAGGATCGTGAAATTCTACGTCATGATCCTCACAAATTAGTAGAAGGTTGCTTGATTGCTGGCCGTGCAATGGGAGCTTGTGCTGCTTACATCTACATCCGTGGTGAATTTTATAATGAAGCATCAAATATGCAAGTTGCTATTGCAGAAGCTTACCAGGCAGGTTTGATTGGCAAGAATGCCTGTGGCTCTGGTTATGATTTTGACATCTTCGTTCAAAGAGGAGCAGGAGCATACATTTGCGGGGAAGAAACTGCTCTCATAGAATCTATTGAAGGAAAACAGGGAAAGCCTAGACTAAAGCCACCTTTTCCAGCTGATGTTGGATTATTTGGATGTCCTACTACTGTTACAAATGTCGAAACCGTCGCAGTATCTCCTGTACGTATTTACTACATACATAATGGTATTAAAAAAGAGATGTATGTAGAAAATTTTAATTCTAAAATTAAGACTTTGATATATAGACTATATGCCGACGAGGCGGAGCGTGGTTTGCGTCATTCGGCCGTCCACGTAATCATGGAACTAAATTATTTAACATCTCGGGGCACGTAAACAATCCTTGCACTGTGGAAGAAGAAATGTCCATTCCTCTGAAAGAACTTGTCGAAAGACATGCTGGTGGAGTAATTGGTGGATGGGATAATCTGCTGGGTGTGATTCCTGGAGGATCTTCCACTCCTGTTATTCCTAAAAGGTACTTGTATAATTATAAATCGAAAAATTTAAAAACTTTTATTAAATACTTGAATGATTTTGCAGCGTATGCGATACAGTGTTATTGGACTTCGATGATCTTGTCCGAGTTCAAAGTTCTTTTGGTACTGCAGCTCTGATTGTTATGAACAAACAGACCGATATTATTAAAGCTATTACCCGCCTCATCAGTTTTTATAAACATGAATCTTGTGGTCAATGCACCCCCTGCCGTGAAGGAATAAGTTGGATGTACAAAATAATGAGAAGGTACAATAATTATTTTATTTGTTTGCTCTTTTCTTCTTAATTTAAAAGAATAAATTATATATCGAATATCATGTGTAGGTTTGTCCAAGGTCAAGCAGAAACACACGAAATAGATATGCTGTGGGAGTTAACCAAACAGATTGAATTGCATACTATTTGCGCTCTAGCAGATGGTGCAGCATGGCCAGTTCAAGGATTAATTAGGCATTTTAGACCAGAAATAGAAGCACGTATTAAACAGCGCAAAGCAGCAATATCCAATTAAGCTAAAGGTATATTTAATACTAGTAAACGTTCCGATATTATGACCTTGAAAAATGCAACTAGAAGTGTTGGTGTATTTATATCTGTAAGTAATTGTATTAATTTACAATGTATATAAGACGATCAATACAAAATGCGATGTAGTGAATTTCCTATGTATTTTTGCCGAATCTTCCTCAACTTCTAATGGTTTGGCAAATAAAATGGATAGAAAAACGTAATTTGTTTATATTAACCATTTTAATGCCATGCGGCGCGTTTACGCTGTTCAGATTTCGTATCAAAAGGTATTACTGCATTTAATCGCGATGCTTCATTTATGTTCAAGTGCGCTCGCATTCAGCGCATTATAGCGCGTCTTAAGTCATGCTTCTAATCTTCTTTTCAATTAAACACAAACTACATATACAAATAAACAGTTTTTACTTTATCTATTCTTATTTACATATACTTTTATGTAGTAAAAATATGCTGCCAACATTTTTAAAAATATAAACAAGGATAATATAAAATATATATTGTATATACATAATAGATTAAAAAGCAATATAATTATTAACATTTACTATTACTTTTGAAACATATATGCTTATCAAGACATAATGGGTGAATCCCTTTCTTGCACTGTACACAAATTAAATTTGATCTTTTTATACCATTATCTTTATTGCTACAAACCACGCATTGTCTTAAATTTCGTCCCGGTAATTTCATTAAACCAAATGTTCTTTTATCAGTATTGATAAGTTGTTGTTTCCTTTCTTGCATCCATTCACATTCTATTTCAGAAATAATATTTGATATAAATTCTAATCGTGTCATTGCTTTTCTTCTGACGATTTCTTTGTAAAGTAGATATGAATTTAACACCATGCGGGAGATTATGTTAAATGTAACTTTCTTCCAATATTTTACAGTTCGCTGTTCATCAAGATACATATATAACATTTTATCAGATTCGTCAATTCCTCCCATAGAACAATTATAAAAATTAACAATACACGGTTTTTCATTTCCATTTCGTTTTTTAATTACAGTTACATTTTCATCCGAAGCTTTTGTCGAAATTAACAATACGGGATTTTTGGTTGTTTTTTTTTCGCGGTATGCACACAAGACTACGTCTCCATCTCGAACATACTTCGTTTCATTAACATTAACTCTTTTTATATCATTAGGTAAATCTTTCCTATTATTTCTTATAGTTCCTGTTAGGTATGTACCTTTGGAATATAAATATTTAGCTAAAGCAATACTACTGAAATAATTTCCGACAAATACATGATATCCCTTATTTAGATAACCGCATTGCTCTAATAAATTTACAATAATATCATGTCCAAGTTCACGTTTTTGTGATTTAGTATTATCAGTTTTTGCATTCCGGTAGCAATAAAGATGTAGGCAATACTTGGATGACGCATCACAAAGCATCCAAAATTTTATATCCCATTGGTCCTTATCATTCGGTAAATGCTGACGAGTGATGCTCGAATGGCAAATAGTCCCTATCAAAGATTCCTCAATGGATAATTCTTTACGTGGCTTGTAGTACAATTTAAATATTCTATTCGCGTGTTCAACGATAGGAATAAATTTTGCGCATGGATCATATTTTTCATGTTCCGGTGGGAAGCATTCTTTATTATTTACCAAGTGGAAAAATCTTAAAATAAGCTGGAATCTATTCCGCGAAAACATTTTTGAAAACCAAGGTATGTTTCTTGAATTTTCGGCCCAATATGAAAATATTGTTGGTCGTTTCGTTATACCCATTTCTAATAAAACTGCTATAAATGCTTTCATTTCTAGTGCAGTAATTGGTTTCCACATTGTCATTCTAGATCTTCGGTCTGTTTCACGTAATTGTAATAATTCATCTGCGTACCTATTGGTTTCGCGTACCATCAATGTTAAAAGGGATGAATCGAAAAATAGATCGAAATATTCAATAGGTTTAGCTTCGCGAGTCAAAGAACACTGTGCTCCAGTGTCTTCAATAAAATGAAATGAATCATGTTCTGCAGGTATCTCATTGTCAGTAATTGTAGATATTGAAGCACTTGATAAATCAGCAATTGTCGACGTTGATGCACTTGTCGAGTAACAATGAAGGAGAACTTGCGGATTATCAGTATTATTATTAGAAATGTCCAAAACTTCTTGTTTCTTTCGCTTAGAAACAGATACTACATTTTCTCTACTACCATCATCTTCATTTACAGAATTTGAAAGACTGAATTTTTTGGATAGCTTTGTTTTTCTTTTTTGAGCCATTATACCTTTAGCTGATACGATACATAAACACTAAATGAAACCATTGACTAAAGATAGGATAGATTGGACATTAAATGGGGCTTCGTGTCTCAGGGGCTGAAATACTTGGAAAAAATTACTGCTTTTTGGCGCACTCTACGCTCAAATAACAATTAATTGGAGAACTATATCACAGATACAAACGAAGTATAAATAGATCTAGCATACAATGTATTTTTTTGTCCTACGATTTCGGCGTTCTAGGATCTCCTTACCATTTTTGTATCACATCCTGTTGTACCAATTCAGGCAGGTTATGCACCGCAGCGCCACTAGTGATGAAAATTAAAATAAAAAAATGTAGTGTTGCTATTTAGAATTATTTATTAAATTGAAAGTGGTAGTACTTCATTAATGAAGAAATATAATAATTTAAAACAGTGATTGATGAAAATTGAAATAAAAAATTTATTATATATTTGATTGTTTAGAAAACTTGATTGTTTATCTACTTGAAAGTTAGAAAAAATTGATCTATTTATGAGTAGAAGAGTATATTTTTTAATAACATAATTATATATGACGTTCTTTGGTTTAGTTTCAGAATATAAATGAATGCTACAAATGAATCCTCGATTTTATAAAGACTTGAACGTATTAAAGAAATGTTTTTACTGATGCTGTTTGATAAAATTATATTGTGTGGTATAAATTATTTTTTGCGAATCGTCCGTTTCCGAAATTTCAGATTGACTTTCTTAAATAAAATATCTTATGAGATCTTATTTATTAAGATGAATTCAGTGACTTGCATACGAGGTCATTTGTTCCTATAACTTATTAAAGATTAATGAGTTATTATTTAAAGTTCAATAAAATGGCGAATCGTATAGTTCGTTTTAAAGGCTCACTACAAAGGAGAGAATTCAATTTTCCAGATCATAAAAACGAATTGTTCAATGATAAAAAAACTTTTCTTCAGTAAGACGTTTGAATTTTTATAATATTCGAGAAGAAAATTATTCACCTTTACATTTGCAACATGATGTAAAAATAAAATCTAAAATAAATCTTTGAAAGAAACAAACTCAGGATTATTAAAGTAGAGACTTTCAGTTTTAAAATAAAATCAAGTTAATTGTTCTATAATTTTTTCTGACATGTTTAAAATATAACAGTTTAAAATATTGATAATTTTTCATCAAATGTATGAATATTTTCGTTTTTTTGAAATAATTTCTCATGAATTTTGTGTATTTGATTTACATCAAATATTTACATCAGTTTTTTTATTTTTTATTCCAAGTTATTTCATGCGAAATGTGCAATTGCAGCTCTAGCGGTAAAATACGTAATATACTTACTACAATTCTCAAACATCGATATTTCCCACGATCGATTTTTAAACGAAAAGGAAGCAGGTCTGTAAAGAAGGTGTTATCCAGAAAAATCATTCAGGAAGAAGTATTATCTAGAAATTCTCAGGTTAAAATTTAAATCAATGGTTGTCAGTGTATTTGTGTCGTGAATTTTAAAGATAGAACGTGCATTTTTGGCTCCAACTTAAGGTAAGATTTAACCAAATAATTACCACATATAATTTTCAACAATTAAAGAAATAATCGCATATAAACAGAACATACCATGCTGAAAATTATTTATAATTCTTAACAATTCCAATACTAAATTCAACAATAATTTATTTAGAATGTTAATAGTTAAAATAATAATTTTTTACTACGTAATATAATATAAATTTTTCATGTTTCAGTTTAAAGTATTGACAATCTTTCATCAACTGTGTGAATATTTTCGTTCTTTTTTTAAATTTCTCATGAATTTTGTGTATTCATTTTGGACCAGAGTTCTTTATTTCCTATTCCCAGTTATCATTTCATGTGAAACGTGCGACTATAGCGCCAACGGAGAAGTACGCAATACACATCCTTCACGATTCTCGAACATATCGATATTTCTCACGATCGATTTTTCAACAGGAAGATGGCGGAAGGAAGCACACCTCGTCTGTAAAAAAGAAAGCGTTATCACCTAGAAAGAAATTATTCAGATATTCTCAAGTAAAAACTTCAATTAATAGTTGTTAGATTTGTGTTTGTGTTTTGTATTTTTAAAATAAAACGTGATTTTTTGGCTTTAACTCAAGGTAAAATTTAACCAAATAATTGTCACATATAATTTTCAACAATTAAAGAAATAACAGCATATAAACATTGAAATAGAACATACAATGTTAAAAGTTATTTATAATTTTATACCAAAATGTAATTTCAATTTAGACAATTCTACAAATATTGTGATCTTGTAATATGACTATATACATATATATGCTTTTATTTCATTTACTACTCTTTTATTATTCGTTAACTTCATATATTACGTAATTCTTAACAATTCCAATATTAAATTCAACAGTTTACTAAGAATGTATGTACGTATTTAATTGTTAAAATAATAATTTTACTACGTATTATAATAAAATTTCTCATGTCTTGACAATTGACAATTTTTTATCAAGTGTGTGAATATTTTCGTTTTTTTTTTAAATTTTTAAGAATTTTGTCATGAATTTTTAGAATTTCTCATGAATTTTGTGTATTTGATTTAGACCAGAGTTTTTTTTTTCCCCCAGTTAACATTTCGTGCGAAACGTGCGATTACAGCGCCCCAACGGTGAAATAGACAATATACTTCCTACGATTCTCGAATCATGATCGATATTTCTCACGATCGATTTTTAAGCGTGAAACATGGTGGAAAGGAGTACGCTTCATCTGTGAAGTAGAAAATTTTATCCAGAAGAATCATCCAGAAGTATCTTCAAGAAAGAAGTATCCAACAAAAGTTCTCAGGTAAGAATATAAATCAATAATTGTTGGATTTGTGTTTGTATTGTGAATTTTTAAAATAAAACGTACATTTTTGGCTTTAACTCAAGGTATGATTTTACCAAATAATTGTTACATATAATTTTCGACAATTAAATAAATAATAACATATAAACATTTAAACAGAACATACTATGCTAAAAGTTATTTATAATTTTATACCAAAATTTAATTTCAATTTTAGTAGAAATACTATAATTTTGTAATTGACTGACTCATTGTTATATATATATATATAAATACATATCACAGACATATCATATTATATGCTTTTGCACACATTCTTCTATCATAATATTTTTTACATATTCGTTGATTCTTTAACTTCATACTGTAGTTCATACCGTAGTTCTTAACAATTCTAAAGAACAATAACTTATTAAAAATGTACGTATTTTACAGTTAAAGTAATAATTTTACTGCGTAATATAATGAAATTGCTCAGTTTTCAAATAAAGTACACAACAAAATTGTGTAGTGCTTTCCACGCCAATTTTTCTTCAGTCATTGATTTCACTCGTACAGTTACCTGTAGTTTATACCGTAAGCCTTTTTAATAGAATTTGAAGTTAATTATCATTTCATTTTTACACATTTGCCTTTATTTGACACATTTGTTCTCACTTCTGATTTTTTTTTGTACAGGTTATTCCTTGATTGCAAAGATAGCATAGACTGCATAGACGCCACAATCTGATGAATTTTCACGGAAAATTGGTAACATTTTGGGTAACATTTGGTATACATTTTATATATGTATATACATATTCGATATACAATTCACAATATGTAATTTCGTAATTATTTGGAATACAAAGATGAAAATAGAAAAAATTAAATCAATTAATATTTTATTTCGAATATGGATATCGTAGTAGCTTAATGGTATATATGTTCTTTTAAATGGATATATACTGCATTAGATTATTAAATTCAGTTTCGTAATTTGCTATACTGTACTTTGCTACAGTATACTTCTTTCGAATTAAACGATTCAGAGCAAGATTTCACATGTATATGATTCTCTAAATATATTTAACTGCAAAATTTTTATTTGTGCAGACATTTTCTAATATTTATAACACGTGACGTGATTA